TCTCGGGAATAAATTTAAGTCACATTGTTAAGTAATGTGGCCCAGTTAGGCAAATCAAACCAGTGAATTATACTTCTGCATAGGTAGGTGATGAAGTCACAGATGATTGAGAAAGCCATTGCAACTGTATTGTCTGTTAATAACGACAGTAACAGAAAATATACTAGTTTGTACAATGTTTGTCGTTCATGCAATTCCGTCTCTACCCAGTTGTAGTCGGTATGCTTTTATTCCACATATCTGGAAAGATTCTGCCAGAAAGGGGTGTCAGTCACACGTGATTCTTTTAAGAAAAAGACTACTCCATTGATGCTAGCATGATTGTTAGTCTTCGTGACATAACATATTCTAGATTTTTTATCTTAAAACAAGATAAACTATCAATACTATTTTCATTTCTGTCAGACTCCTAGGAAAGAGAAAATTATATTATTTCAGTCAGAGATTTTAAGTAACACATTGTAACTAATAATCTACCTTTGTGTCCGGACTTTTCAAACGACCGATTGTTGTCGTCAAGGCCTAACATCGGTGTTACTCAGTGACTCGACTGTATATGCAAAGTATTTCGCAAATTCTCGTGACTTATTGCTTGTAAGCTACCCTTGTCTTCTAGATTCATAGGTCATGTTTGACATACTGTTCTAACGCCTTACCCTGCACTGTTTTAGCAGTCAGTCGCACCTGGTAAGTTTATACATCGGTTCAAGTTTCTATACCCAGTTAGCACAGAGAGATGAGATTGTCGGGTCAAGTATCAGAGTAGTAGATGCAGTATCAGTGGTATTAGTGAAGATTGGTCATCAAGGATGCAATTCGGCACGAAAACGCAAGTTGGTGAGATAAAATGTTTTTGAAGGATTCATAAGCTTAAAATTTGAGGAAAGGCAAAGAATAGATGTACCTATGCCATTCCAAACAATTTAAAGCCGTGCCATCCAAAATTCAACCACTAGTCACGGGAATCACGCGAACGTCAACCAGTTAGTCTATACCTATTAACACGGCTCGCTCTAATGGTCTATGACTCTAATCATGCTCTATTACGAGCACGCATTTGCTTGCGCCTCACTGGACGCAGAAAAACTACACCTAGAAGACCCATTGGAATTTAACTGAGGGACGATAAAGTCAAAAGTAAGCTCCAGTGTTATAAGTTCTCTTATTACGACCCAGCTATTCCTGTTGCTTAGTATTCTTGGATAGCAAATCAGAACATGGTTGAACAGGAAATACATTATATTCTGAATATCAAGGGGTAGACGAAGTAAGAAGCACAATAAAGAATACATTAGTATATCTATAGTTTTTACATGAGAAGATTCTAAATTGTTTTCCAAGGATCGACTAGCGCTGATTAGATAAGAGTTAGCCAAACAGCACGCATCAACGCAATCGTGCACGGAACTTGCCCTAATCCAATCTATGTCCCGCTAACATCCAGGAACAATTGAGTTCACATCTAGGCAGATCTGTAAACGAGGCTCACCCAGATGTCGCTTGGAAAGACAGCTGTGAAAACGACAGTAATATCTATTAGTAATTTAAATCAAAGGGTTACAAAAAGCAATGGATTTCTTCTAAGTCTATTGCACTGATGGATTCTCGTAAACTCATCCCATCAGGCTCTAAACACGATGAAGAGCGAAAGCAAATCAGATCTTAGTTAACCAAAAGTCTACGGAACGATCGTGAGCAATGGTGGGCAACGAAAGCAAAATAAATGGAAAAGGCAGTGGCTGTAGGCCACACCAGACAGCTCTTCAGACTAATAAAAGTAACCGGAATTAAGAAGTCAATTATAATCGAAACAATCTCGGAGAAAGACGAGACTCTTATCTGCTCTCAGCCCAGACGTTTAGAACGATGAGTGAAACACAGTTTATCTGGCCTTCAGCTACTCTACAGTTACCCACCATTCTCAGACGGTCTGAATGGTTCTCCGACCCCAGCTGAAGTTCAAAAGGCTATAACTAATCTGAAATGAGGAAGAGCAGCTGGTCCAAATGGATTGGCTCCAGAGGTCTTTAAATATGGTGTTCCAATTTTAGCGATTAGGATGATTAATATTTTAGCTAAAATCTGGGACGTAATCCCATCTGACTGGTCACAGCCTCTGATTGTCCCAATATATAGGAAGATGTCAAAATCATCCTGTGATAACCATATAAGGATTAGTCCGTCTATCAATGAAGGGACGAGTATAGTGCGCAGCAGTTCGCTCTGTTCTACTTTACGGCTGTGAAACATGGCTATTAAGAGTAGAAGATAATCGTAAGTTACTATCATTTGACCACAGATGTCTTGGAAATATTGTTCGCATTTGCTGGGATCACTGGGCAAGTAATAGTGAGGTTAGACGCAGTGTATTAGGGAGTGATGGTTAATCAGTTGGTGAGGTTGTGGATCTTCATCGACTGAGATGGTTAGGCCACGTGTTACGTATACCTCAACACCGATTACCAAGATGCGCTATGTTGACTAGTGTAGGGGATGGTTGGAAGAGAGTTAGGGGCGGCCAAACCAAAAGTGGCATCAGTGCTTGAAGTCACTAGCTTCTAGTCTGAGCCATGTTGGCAGATGCAGACTACTTGGTTGGGGTCCGTGTGACTATCGCAACCAGTGGTTGGAGACTCTGTGTGACATGGCTCAGAATCGATCACAATGGCGTAGGTGTGTACACTCTTTGTCTTCCTTTAAACCTTGAGACTAAAATTGCTTCATATCTGTCTTTCTGTACTATATCCTTATATACAGCCTTTCTTTTATATAATACCACCATTGAAGTAACTACTATGAATTCGGTGTGCTAACGAGGTATGGCAACTTGGACCGATGCATAAATGTACCTGGTCCTACGTTGTCGCTGACTGACTGAGTATGACTTCACTGCTTAATGACAGGTTTTATTTTGGCCGCCCTTAGTTTTCTTCCAACCTATTCCTACAAAGAACATCGTTTTAGGCGCTGGTTAGGCATGAGTAACACATGTCCTATTCGCTTCGGTTAATAAAGATTTACTACCTCACCAATCAATTTTTCGTCCTAACATACTATGCATCTAACCTTGATGGTCCTGAAATATACGAACAGTGCTTCTAAGATACCTTTGATCAGACATTAGCAATCTACGACTGTCCTCAAGTTTCAAATGGGATGTTCACAGCTATGATATACAACAGAATAAACTGCTGTGCAATGTACTCATCGTTTACTTGGCAAACGGATGTCTGACTTATTTATTTATTTATTTATTTATTTAAACACAAATATTGGTACAAGGAAGCACCAGATAAATATGCGCCTCACAAATCTCATTCGATTTGTGTGAGGGCTGTGATACTGCCCAGGTGCCCAGACTGAAGCAGGTGGTTTTCTTAGGGGGCCACATTCGAAGCCTTTGACCTAAAGGTCTATTCCACAAGGCAGTGGAGCATCGTAAGGAGATGCAGTCCCATGGTAGCCGGTGACCAACAGTTGGTTCATACGCCATTTGTTCCTTCAGGATACTGGAACCCATGTGCACCATTGGTTTGTAATCAGGGTTTTCCAACTCCCCTACATGGACTCGCCTTGTTCACCAATCCGGTTAAAGCGCCGGACATTCGCTTTCCGTCCTCTCACTTTTTTGAACAACACCCCCACCACGAGAAGGCAGTGAGTAGGACTTCCCTGACAGAGGCTATATATTCGCGTGGCCATATAAGAGCATTTCGAGAGGGAGAGCACACTCTCCCCACTCTCGGCCGTATCAGGGCATTTGGGGGCTAAATGGAAATGTCTGACTTACGCCACAAGTGATGTTAGTTGACGTAAGCCAACTGGGATTTCTGAGTACATATCGAGGTTTCTCAAGATACCAACCCATCAGGACTTATGAGAATCTTAATTGAATCGGTTGATGTACTCAACTGCTTCACTCCCTATCATTTATTCAGGCGCTACTGCAGGTTAGTTGTAAAGTAATATATTTTGGAGACAGATGAAAAAATGTTAGTGGCGGCCAAAGCAAAACGTGAGATCAGCCCATAAAGTTTTTAACTTCTGGCCTGAGCCATGCTGGTAGACGCAAACGACTTGGTTGGAGACTAGTTGACATGGCTCAGGATCGGTCACAATAACGTAGGTGTATACACTCTTTTTCATCCCTTAAACCATAAGATTGAAATTACTTTATATTTTTCTATGAACTAATTCTCTCTTCATGTATCATATCTTTGTGTGAATTTTTTTACTACCGTTTGAGTAACTACTATAAATTCGGTGTTTATCTTATTGGGCTATTGAGGTATGGCATCTTGTATCGATGCATATATGTTGCTGGTCCTACGTTGTAGTGAAGTAATATTTTACATTTGGACGGAGAAAATCTCATTTTAAACATGCTAGTTCTAAACCAAGACAGGGAGAAATTGTTTAAAGTGGCAACTTGCAAGTCAACAATGGACAAGTAAAAGCCATAAAAACTCAGTTGAAGCAAATGTTTAAAAGACTGCCATTGTAGGGTTACATAGACTGAAACCATTTCTAGGTTTAAGCCCATATTTGTTTATATATTGCAAGTCTCAGAATAATAACAAGGAAACCACTGATTTCTGATAAAATATAGCAATATAAAGACCACTTAAGTAACATTTTGGCTTACTAAGGGAGCATGAGGTAGGTGTTCATCCTGAGCTAACCTGATATTTGGAACATGTCGTGAAACTAACAGTCAATTTTGTCATGATCATGTTCAAAGTTGCAAACGGTGTCTCACTCATAGTTTATCAATTTATAATATTCAAATTCTGCCCTTCAAGCTAGAAGACGATATAAGCTCTTTCATAACTTTTAGTTTACGGTCAAAATTTTATTGGATGTGATTTCTTTTGGGTAACACTATGTGGTCTTTTATTGTTTTCTTGACTTTTCAGGAATATAGGATTGATTTATAATCCTAGCAGTCAGTTATTTTAAAGGATAAAATAATGCTTTATTGAGTTCCTTTATCTTACCAGATGAGCCATTGTCCTGTAGAATATTCAAATCCTAATTCCCAGAATACTATATCTTATATTACCTCAGATTCTGTGATTAGTGTCTCGTTCGCAGATTGTCAGTCGTCTAGTCCTTCATACCACTCTCTGTCATCAAGTACAGCCCTTCCTGGTGTTGGCTCTTTCTTAGATAAATCAAATCACCTTCCCCACTATTCTCCTAATAAATATTATGATACAGAACCTACTGCGATTCCGGGACACTCTTATGTTGAAAACACTGACGTTTTCGACAACAATCTTCCTTATCCAATAAAATCGGAGGCGATTCATGAAATAGTATCTGGGACGTTTATTACTCCAGATGCACACAACGAATCATGTTTTACATCTCCTTTACAACCTCTAAAATCATTAAACCCAAGTCTTCCTGTCCAATCTAGTGAATCTTTGTTAAGTGGTTTCACTCATCCACTTTCTATGAACCATACCGTTTTAGAAGACGGTGGATTAGATTTGGATCGAGTGTTTGTCGCTATTATTAATGATCGAAATTCTGAACATGATATCTTTAATGACAATGATGTTAATTGTGATAGTGAACGCTGCAAAAAACAGTTACTTAATAATAGTATTCAGTCATCCGTTAATCAAAGTATGCTGACAGATGATTCAGAGGACAAAAGTTTATTACAGTACTATTCTGTAATAGATTCTGAGAAGACAACTCAACATCAAACCCATCCAAGTAAGTTGTTTTTGTTGATTGACTCATTATAGGAAGAAAAAATATTTTTCTTGTGCACTCATCTTAGAGCTTTTATCTTCCAAATATTTCCGTATACGATCATAGATTTTGTATAATAAGGGCTGTTCAATACAAAGGAGATTCAAGTATGAATATTTATTAGATTTTAAGTTTGTAAATAAGTGACAACGCAATTACGTACTCTTGGATTGGTGGTTCGGTGCTTAAATGTTTATCTTTACCAAGTCTCATATTGTACCATGTTGTAGGTAATCACATGTATGACTTTAAATAATGTGAAAATGTATGGATGTAAATAATTGACCAGCCGATGTAGCGCTATATTTTGTAATATTGAATATGCTTCGTTACTCTGTTTCCAAATATATGACTGAGTTTTTCAAATCAATACGCCAAGTTTATCGTTTTACAAACACAATCATCTGTTTTCATTCGTGTGATGAGAACTTGGTAGTTAGTTGGAAATATACAGAATGTAAAAATCTGTTGTTTATGTCGTGTTACCTATTGAACGGCTTTTAGTTGTTTTAGTTTAGTCTATGTAACTAGGTGAGCAAGTAGTACTTCACTCACTGTATGACACGCAATGTATACAAGTCTATGGTACTACCCAACTACTCAAACCGAAATTGATGAAGTCGATTGCAAAGCTGCAACCTGGTGGTTAAAAGCTTTAACTACTGAATTACTGATCACCCGTCAGCCTGTTCATATTCGAGATAGTTTATTATTTTCTTCGAAAGATGGTGGATAACTTTGCAAAACGCCTCATAATGTAAGGCTTATTTTATTTCGCTAGCACTACTATAGATTTGTTGTTGAGAAGCTACTAAGGATATCTCCTGACAGTGGGACTATGATAAATGTCTTGGCAACTTTCAGTTGTTGGAATTGAAATTTGATTTCAACCACTAATGCAGAAAATGTGGTGTAAGCCTGCTACCTCAACCAAGCGGAATGTTGATTTCACGTGTATATTGAATTTTTATCAGACATAAGAACTTATAGTTCTAGACAATGGAGAATAAGTTAATAGATTTTAGCAAAGGTTTGTCGTATGCAATACAGTCCACTGTAATAATCAGTCTGATTAACAAGGCAAGATTTGTTGTGACATTGACAAAATTCTACTACATGACGTATCTGATGGCTAGACGTTTTCGAATCATAGCAGGTTCGCATTACTGGACCAACCTTATGGGATAAGTTTTTTCCAAAAAATACTACGATTTCAAGTATCTTATCAATGTTTTTGAAGAGAAGGAAGTGCAACAACTAGGGTTGAAATATTCTCACAAGACGTGCAACTATAGATCTCCTACCTGAAGTTTTTTGCTGGTGATGTTCAGAAGAACGAAGGACCACTAAGATCCACATCAAACTTGCTCGCTGAAGTCTAAAGTGAATCCAGATATCTATGCATGATAGAGGTCAACTTTTAAACATCGGTATTGATTATCTATGTGATTCTTAGTACATCTGACTACTATTGAAGTCATAGTCGGAAACGTTTGGCTTTCCATATTTAATTATCTGAGTTAACTAAACATCTTCACAGGAAAGTAATATTTGAGTTCTTGGTAGCTGGTTATCTTGTTCTTTTATTGACCCGTAGCTTATCAGTTCAAGCATTCGAGTTTGGGACTGTTAGTGTTTTTACAGGTAGTTGGTATCACTAATTTTCACACAGGTTTTGCCTATAACCCACTATGCGAATATTTACGAGATTGACTAGTTAGTTTTCATTTACATTTCCTTACAGAAACATCCCCCGTTTCAGAAGTTGAACAAACACACAAATCGTCTGGATCATCTGAAGTTTCAACCCGAATGTGCGTAGTTTGTGGTGACAAAGCTTCAGGATTCCATTACGGTGTCTCTACATGCGAGGGTTGTAAGGTATGCTAACTACTATGTTTATTTTTCAATGCATTGAATACTCGAGTTTCATTTGATTATAAAAGCATCCAGTATTAGATTTACTTGAATTGCGCACCCGAAGATAGTCGAATTCGAACTATTCTCATAAATTCTCGAAGTGATTAATGTTGAGGATATATCATACTCATATCTTCTGCAACAAGTATTAATTAGTTTCAATTACAGCATACTTTCAAAAAATAAAACCATTCATAGTGATAGGCACGTAGCATAAACAAATAGTTAAATAATTAGTTTCATATGGTTGTACGAACTCTAATCACAGCCAATAAAAGTAAGAGAATCGTGTGCTGATTTGTTATTCATGAATGACGTAAAATAAATCTAGTACCCTTTATCGTGTTTCGGATCATACTGATATAAATAGATGTGAATACAAGGCTCGATAGCTGACAATCAAATTTGCCTAAATATGTATATAGTGACAGACAACTGACAAGTTATGCAAAAATTCTTCTGTCTTTTGATCTCGTTGAGTATATTTTTGCCGGTGCAGTGTAATTGAAAGAGATTGGTCGTTAATAATATCCCATTTATCTGCGGACTTGTTTCAAAGGGACTGTTTCATGTATTCTACACTTTTCTTCTGGATACAGATGCTTAGATATCACATCACAAGCTTATCTTACCGCTTGTCTTAAAGTTCTCCTTCACTATTTAAATATGCTTTGATGAAATCTGACTTATTTTGCTGTCAGTTCGATGTTCTATAAATAAGCTAATAATTAGATGGGTGATTTCTTCTCACTAGCGTTCCTTACCAAGGTTCTTATTTACGGGGTGGGGTTATTAACCCCATATTAAACCCTTCCCTTTTACCTGGGATTGTGTTCGGTATTAATCCTGAAAGGGCTCCAGGTAGAGTTATTCAGTGTTTAATCCATTTTCGGTCTTATGTAAATTACGGCTTCTATTATATAATTTAAAATGACTTGTGGGTGATAATAGGGCTATATTCAATGACGTTACTCAATGATGTAGGACTGAGGAAGTATGGCAAATCGGTTGGTAAAATTGTGGATCTTCATCAAATAAAGTAATAATGCTTGTTGTAAATGTTGCATAGAAGAAAGTTAGGGGCACCCAAACCCATGACTTGCGATCAGTTCATGAATTTGTCGACTGTTAAACTGGGCCATCATAATAGAATCATACTGTCCCGTCGGAATCCTCATTATTATCGTAACCATTGGTTAGAGGCTATTGTATCCCGAAGAAAATTATGAATGGTGACTTTTGGGAACCATTTGTGGACCAATATTATGCATGTATTTTTTATCGTATAATTGCCAAAGAACAACTATTCATATTCCCCTTATCATGAGCTTTATTTTGAACTATGAACTATTATTATAAGATTTACCATTCATGAATTACACCCAGTCTACTAATTACTGTTCCCCTTATTCACAGCCACATTTTGCTAAATCTTGTACATATGTTATTTTCTATTTTATGGCGCGATGTGGTCAGTTTGATTGGCATATAAACTCAGCATGTTTAAAATATAATGATTCATACCGCAGAGGCTGTTCAGGACTTAACTGGCTGGGCTGGGCAGAAGCATGATCAACAAGTACTCTAGACTGCTCATACGGTTTTCGTGTGTCACTGTTCCAATCGATAATTCGCTGCTCTCTGATTGGCGGTCTTATCACGTCATACGTTAACAAGGCATCCACTTGGCCACAAGTTGTAGCAGGGACGTTAGATGAAATGGTTCACAATCGATAGCAATGATTCCAGATTCATTTCTGAGCTTCATAATTCTTTTACATATTCTGTTCCGTGAATTATTTTCTGGAATCCCATTGTCTCCCTAATTTTTTTTTAGCGTCATTGATACTACTATATTCGTTTTCATCTTCATAATTCCATCATAATGATGTATCAGCTTGGACCAATGTATATATGTGTTGTATGTGTATTAGGTTGTCGATAACTGACTGAGTAATACCTTGTAATTGCAAAAATTGTACCTGTTATGAATGATCCGATGCCAAATTTCCTTTTCATTTTGACTAACAATCAACACTGATCGAGGAAATTTGATTACAAAAGTAACGGTTTATTTCAATTCAGATAATTATGTTGTTTCACTTATAAATTTATAAATACATTTGACACATTTAGGTTTCTATAAGCTATTATTAAAAAATCTATTAAAACAGTTATTCATTGGGGATTGCACATTTACAAACGACTGATCATATAGTACTGACCAATGCTATGTTAATCAAGTCCTCAATTCTGATGGAATTCTATCGATCAGGTTTTAATGTTGCCACTGGTTTAAGTGACTCGATCGATGGAATTCGATTGGCACTGAGAAACTTGACAAATATAACATTGCTCCCTGCTCAATGATTAATCAATTGTTAATGCATCCTAGTCCTACGCGACATCATTCACAGATTGAATAGCTCAATGGTAATGTCCCTGACTGTAAAGCTGGATGACATGGTATCGAATCCTTCAGGATCCATCAGTTTTTTCAAGATTACGAATAAACCTTACTAACGAATTCCAAGTAGCATGAAAACTAGGTCCAGAGTTTCTTGTCAATTGCCTTCAACAGCTTGATGAATTAAAAACATCCCTAAAACCTTTCCAAACATTATTTTTGGCTTTATAACAAACTGTTTGAATGGTTTAAAAATGGAATCTTTCCTAACATATTTTTCTTGTTTTAATCCACTTTTCAATCTAAGGTTATGTGAATAAATTTGTGATTTTCCTAATAAATATGACACTTTTATAATTTATTTACAAAACATTATTAAAACGTTTACTCAGGGTTTCTTCCGACGTGCTATACAACGTGACCAATCATATACTTGTGCTAAAAATGGTACATGCGAGATAAATAAAACGCTTCGTAATAAATGTCAACAATGTCGACTCCTCAAGTGTATTGCTGTGGGAATGTCGAGAGATGGTAAGTTGTTTATTGATCGTTATTTGTTCATCTACATTATCTTATGTTTTCTTTTACCGTGTTTTCATTCAATGTATTTTTTAGTGTTGTTTTCTTGCATCTGTTTCGTTCGATTCTACAAATCTGAACTACACTCGGTAAAATTAACTGATCATCTTTCAGAATAGTTTCATGTGATATAAAGTCTTCTGCAGGATGAGTTGCGTTGGTCACTCTATAAGAGGTTACCAATTCCTGTAAGTGGCCTGCGAACACTTGTCAGTTAGATACTATCAGCAAATCCGAAAATATTCATACTTCATTTTGAGATTCGAACTTGTTATACCATGTCTTTTGTTATTGATCTATTTGTCAAGAGACTAATTTCTTACGAATTCGTATTATTTTTATCGTCTGACAACCAATTCACTCACTTTTTAAAATACTGTTTAGTTGGATAAGCTGTGTTACTCTAAATTTTATTTTTCAAATTGATAAATTTTAATAGTTTGACTCCATTTATTTATTTTTGACATTTTGGTTAGTCTAGATTCACTAATAAAATGTTTCGGCGAAGGCATCTTTTACCGCATGTAAGAAAATCACCCATTATGTATAAATAGGGTATAAGTTATTAAGTTTTGGAATTTGGTTATAAGATTTTAAAATATTGTGCTCGATCTGTACCTTAGTACTCGTAAATTTGGTTCTGAATGATCATCCTGCGATAACCATAGAGGGATTAGTCTGACTAACAAAGTATCTAGAATACTAGCCTCAATAATTATCGGGCGCCTACCTAATACTCGTGAACTGCAAACACGAGAAAATCAGGCTGGCTTCAGACCTGGTCGTGGCTGTATCGACCACATATTCACCATTCGTCAAGTTTTAGAGCACAGACACGCTTATCGGCGTCCGACAATGATAGTTTTTCTTGACTTGAAAGCAGCATTTGACTCTGCAGACCGAGAGGTTCTGTGGCAGTGTCTGTCATTATAAGGTGTACCTGAGAAGTACATAAACCTTGTGAAGTCTCTTTGCTCCAAAAACACTATCAGTCGAGTGAGAGCTTATGGCGAACTGTCATCTGATTTTACAACCTCAAGTTGTGTCCGGCATGGTTGTTCACTATTTTCATTTCTGTTTAATTTCATCATAAACCTACAGTTGGAAATAACACTCTCTTCGACTGAATTTACAGGAATTGATCTCCTACCAGGGGGACCACTAAGCGACTTAGAATACGCAGATGACATAGTCCTGTTTGGTGAAGACGCTGGCAAAATGCAGAGTCTTCTGTTGGAACTCAGTAATAATGCCAGGATGTTTGGGATGCGTTTCTCCCCCATCCAAATGTAAATTGTTACTACAGGACTGGCCTGCGTCAACACCCGAACTAAGGATAGGGAGTGAAGTAGTCGAACGCGTCGACAACTTCACTTATCTTGGAAGTCTGATCAGCCCTAATGGGTTGGTGTCTGACGAAATCTCAGCACGGATTCAAAAAGCTCGTTTGGCTTTTGCCAACTTACGTCACCTATGGCGAAGACGAGATATCCGTCTATCAATTAAAGGACGAGTATACTGCGTATCAGTTCGCTCTATTCTACTTTACGGTTGTGAAACATGGCCATTAAGAGTAGAAGATACTCGTAGGTTACTAGTATTTGACCACAGATGCCTTAGAAATATTGCTCGCATCTGCTGGGATCACCGGATAAGTAATAGTGAGGTTAGACACAGGGTATTAGGGAACGATGGTAAATCAATTGATGAGGTGATGAATCTTCATCGACTGAGATGGTTGGGCCATGTGTTACGTATGCCTGAACACCGATTACCACGACGCTCTATGATGACTAGTACTGGGGATTGTTGGAAGAGAGTTAGGGGTGGCCAAACCAAAACATGGCATCAGTGTTTGAAGTCACTAACTTCTAGTCTGAGCCATGTTGGCAGATGCAGACTACTTGGTTGGGGTCCGTGTGACTATCGCAACCAGTGGTTGGAGACTCTGTGTGACATGGCTCAGAATCGATCACAATGGTGTAGGTGTGTACACTCTTTATCTTCCTTTAAACCTTGAGACTAAAATTGCTTCATATCTGTCTTTCTGTACTATATCCTTATATACAACCTATAATTTATATACTACTACCACCACTAAATTAATTACTTCTATGAATCCGGTGTTCATCTTGTTGTGCTAACGAGGTATGGCAACTTGGACCGATGCATATATGTGCCTGGTCCTACGTTGTAGCTGACTGACTGACTGGTTCTGAATGAGGTAGAATTTTCGAAGATTCTCAGTTTTCAATGGATTGATACCAATATGTTAAAGTCAATCGAGAATAACCTATGATTTGAAACACTAATATTCTTAGTTAAGTGTATTCCGAGTGGATAAGCATTGCAACACATTCACCTGAGAATATTTCATTGTTAAATTCTATAAGACTTACGATTGCATTTTGTCTAAGGACTTTCAAGCTCCTGACTGACTTTTCTTATCTTATTCTAATTGTATCCCAGTCTTCATTTGTATCAGTCAAACCAAAAGTGGTATCACTCTATGAAATTATAGACCGTTGATATAAGTCATGTTTGGAGGTCCATACTTCTCGTACGGACTCCGCAAAATAGAATCACATTGTGTAACTATAGATGTTTAGCTGGAATTTAAAACCGGTTGTAATTAAACAACCATTTTCATATTTTTATCTTCCTCTAAATTTGTAGGACTAATCTTAACCACTTCCAGATTTTATTGACTCTTTTTAAACTTTATTTCCCATAACTATCAGTCATATTATTTCAATTCCTTTAATATTCTCTTTGTTGTAGATTTTATGAGTAACGGGATTTTCATTATCTAACTGTATATTTTCTCATTTATTTGCTTTTCCTTGTAAAGAATAAATTCTGTGTTGTACAATAGATTAATATTATCATTTATGTATGATAGGGAAACACGTGCTGATATTGTTATTTCCATTATGATTTGATTATTATCGTAATCACTAATCTGTCTTTCTATCCACTTTTAGATTTTCCGATTTAATTTTCCTAATCCCCATTATTGTGTAGTATCATTAATGGATGATATATATATATATATATATATATATATATATATATATAATTCTAGTCAGCGTTTTTTTAGCAAGGTTGTTTTCTACGGGATGACCCCGCGCCCAACCCTCCTTTACCCGAGCTTGGGACCGGCAATAGCCCTAGTAGAGCTACAGTTGGTATTATATATATATATATATATATATATATATATATATAACTCGATACCATTTCAAACTTTAAAATGAAATAATTGTGAAACAAATATTTATGCAAATGTAAATTGTATTCTTGAACTTAAAGGGAAATATGATTGTATGCTATGAACTAATAATGATTAGTGTAAATTATGTTTTCTATGAGAATGAAAAAATGCTCAATTATCATAGAATATATCCATATGTATTCATCAAATGAGGTTTAATTCGTTGCCTTGTTTATTACTAAACAGAAAACTATTAAAATTTATGACTCATCTTTTGAATTATTATAAATGGCTTAATTTTTATGTGCCTATTTCTTTAAACTAGGGGCTTGTCATTCAGTATTTCTAATATTTAAAAAAACTATTTTAGCATAATCTTAGTAATTATGATTGAATAGCTCTCAGTACTTCATTCGATTATCTAATTTGAGCTTCTTCAAGAAATTATCGGAATAATAAAAATACTTGATTTTGGTCGTTGGAAATTTTAAAAATTGTATAAATGACGCTTACTGTTTGCGCGTTACTTAGTTCGTTCGTTCAATTTTAGGAAAAAATTCGCATAGATATGTTGTTTCTTTAAGAAAGTTCAGTGTTTGGAATGTACATTTTACTGTACCTAACATCTCAGATATGTTCTCCTACAAGAAAAGTAATGAAATCTTGGTGTGTGGATTATTTTCAATATGTGATGACATGCTGTCTACTTAAATCGCACTTAATTTGCTCGTGGTCGAATTGTGAAGTACTTTAAGACTGATAGAAACCGGAATATTCACTCAATGCCGATGACTAGTATTTAAAAATAGTCAAGAACTTTGTGTTTTTTAGTAGTTATGTTAGTCCTTATGGCGAAAACCTTAGGTGACTGAATATTTGAGTCAATTTTTGACATGATATTAGGTTAGTTTGGCCATAAAGTATTTTGTGCATAACACTGTAGTGCTCTATACTTTTGAAGCACGATCTCTCCAAGTTAAAGATATCCGAAAATGCTAAATTTGTACGCTGTTGTTGAAGACGGATTTTCCACGGTTAATGACAATATTGTGTATAAAATGCCAATGTTAATTAACTTGTTTTTAGACATATGTCATTTTAGAATACCTGCTTCAGCAACTTGAACATGTACTGTGTGTTAATCTAGCAGTTTCCATAGTGAGCATTGATTAGTGACATTGAAATTAAGTGGTAAATGTGAACAAGTAGGAAGTTTATAATATGCCGCCTTTATGACAATTCGTGTGATTTTAGCCATTACTCTTTGTTAATCTGTGAAATTTTTCTATCTACATCAGATGCTTAATAAACCAGAGGCTTCGTATTCATTAAAACTGTTCAGAAAGTCCTAGGGTGATTAAGCTGTAGCATGCCTTATACTCATAAAATCGTTAACATTATTGTAGTTTTGTCAAAAAGAAACACTCGTAGTCATGGAACAATCAACGTGACGTGTAATAAATATATTAGGTACCCTCAAGCTATTTAGTAAACTTTATCTATACAAAGTATAAGTAAGTCAGAATTTCGTTTTCTGCATATTTAACTTTCTTATAGTTAACCGTTTTTGTCAGTTCATTCTTCTAGCTTAGTTCTTATCATTTTTAGCACGTAGAAACAAAGATTTTCTATTGATCAACAGTATTTCCATCATTTTTACTTACAGCTGTTCGTAAAAGACGTCAAGGCAAAAAACGGGAGCAGTCTTCTTGTGAATCAGTTACCTTGCCTAGTTCAGATTCCTCAAACAAATATGAAGGATCAGCATACTCATCATGTTCTGCAAATGTAGTTTTGACTCCATCTAAAGCACGTTTAAATCAAACTACACCTGATCCCCATGAAATGCCAATAAAATCAATTAATTTTCAACCATCATCTTCAATACCATCTTCTACTAATATTTCTTTAACCTTATGTAGTAATAATAATAGCAATAATAGTAACAATTTGACTAAAGAAGATCAACAAACTCTAGACAAATTTGATCGTTTTTTAAACTATTGTAAAGATCAAGCGATCAAATATCAGGCAAATAATTGGAATATTTCTAAATCTGATTACTACCACTTATCAGGATCTTTATCAAGACATTTATCTCCCATAAAGGTATTTTTAATGGGTGATTTTTTTAAAAACCTTATTTTAAATATAAGAACTCTCGTCTAAATTTAAACGAATAGTTTCACAGTATTTGAGCGCCGAGTTGAAGTAAGACATTAAATAGGAATAATATATTTGTAAAATCTCAGCGAATGAATTTTTTAAATTAAATCCAACGTTTCGCCTGGCAATCTGGTCCAAGCTTTTTCAAGATTTGTAATGTCCCAATGGGTATAGAAAGGAATTTCTGAAGTTTTACGATTTAGTGTAAATAATTTTACATCTAACATATAACCTTATATAAGCTAATATAAGTTTGTGAATGTAATCGCTTGTATACTAAAATGAAATTCCTTTTTTATTATCAACAACTCATATAAATTCGAAAATAATTGTTATATGTGTTATATATATATATATATATATATATATATATATATATATATATTCCCCTATCCTTATTATACATTGACTGTTATTGATTGACTGTTCCTTGTTGTTGGATTGTGTCGGATTTTGGAGTGGAAATATATTGACATTATAGTCAGGTTAATCTCGTGTTCTTGATCTGAGTTGTGTTGAAGTCCTGTAGAATAGACACTGAGTGAGAATCTAGTATAGATATTCGAAAAAGGTAAATTAACGTCCCACATCCGTGTAAACAGTGAAAGGACTGTTATAACAAGAAACCCTGGAGTTATAACAAACATCCTACGTTTATAACAATAATAATATTGTATAACAACATATTGTTATATCTACTTGGTATCAAACAAAACTGCTTAAACTTCGTCAGAAACTAAGTTACTAAATCTAAGGAAATTAAAACAAAAAACATTTAATTAGTAAATGAACAGTGAAAAACAAATTACAATTTGGAAGTGAAAGTTGAGTTGAATCATCGTAAAAACTTGACTGTGAAGATATATTGCTTGATATTAATTCTACAAAATCTGGTAATATCCCAATTAAAATTAAGCGGATCAAATTGAGAAAATTTTGTTCTCCAGTTAAACGTAAAATATGCATCGTAATTGATTTATTAGACAAGTTTAAACGAGGTTCCATATCAATTAGACGAATAATTTGAGTACCCCAACGATGAAAATCATCTCTGAAATTTTAATAAAAACTTATAATTTGAACCATAAAATGTGTCAAAATAAAATAGAGACACTTTATGAGATTTGATGCTTTAGTATGCAGTATCCATGATATACATAGATTACAAATTTACAGTTTAATGTAGAGGGAATCAGATATATGATAACATTTATAAACAAGTCGAAAATATGTAAGTAAATGTGCCTAGATGAACTTAGTTTATCAAAATTCGAGGGTATTCACATAACCCATCATTCTTTTTTTGGTAAAAAACTTGTTGAAGTAACTCGTGCTGAGAATTCTATATTGTACCAGATTATAATATTGAATAAAGCCATTAATAATAAATAAATAATAAATAAATAACCTCCATCAATTTAAAGTTTGATTAACTGGCATTATTAACTATGGGTTTTTACTACTTTATATATAATATATGACTTGGATCCAGTAGTAAAACATTACGGTTGATCACTAACATGAGCCTTACATCAGTTCACAAGACGTATAAAAATTAAGAGGTGAATTCATTCGCTGAGATTTTACAAATATATTATTCCTATTTAATGTCTTATTTTAAATACTTTTGTAATGAAAGATTACCAACGAATGATGACAAAATAAAAGTAATGAGTACGACGTTAAGTGGATAACCAATGAATCTTGGATGACTTACTTGATTATCAAACGTATTTATAATAGTTTACAAATTACTAATTTGAATAGATTTGTCTTGTTACTACCCCATATATTCATATTTCATTTCCATTGTGGTTATTCGTTCTTATAAGAAAAATGGCCCTATTCATAGTTTTAGATTTCATCACATAGTTTGAACACACAGATCACAAGTGATAAATTCATATGTAAATTAATTTAGACCTTTGTAGTTTTATTTATCTTTACTGCGAGTACTCTACCAATATCTGTCCTACCATCAGTTTCTATAACTATATGAGTATAATGTGTCTGAAGCATTCAATATCAGACTATGGACAAACATGTAAACACGATAGAATAAATATTCAGATATGTATTTTTCTCAGTTGGTGTACTAAATATCATAATGGTGATGATAAATTAGGACAAAAGGTAAAAAGACAAACTTCTAAAGTTAACGATATTTAAAATCGGAACAATGATGTTAAGAAAACAACTATGAAAGGAATAGAATAATACAAAACCCATGTGAAGAAGAATATAATGAATGAATCCATCTAAGTCATTACAACCAAATTCAAGCCATATTTTCTAAAATTTCCAAGCAATAGAATATGATTATCTCATAAATCCTAACCATGAACAATAGTAGCAGTAATATAAATAAGTAGTTAAGGACTGTGCTTAAGTTTGGGCATCTGGGCCCTCACACAAATCAAATGAGATGTGTGCGACGCGTATATATTTGGTGCCCCCGTGTACCAATATTTATGTGTTTAAATAAATAAATAACCTGCGAAAAACGGATGTTACATGATTTATTTATTATTGAGTATGTTTAATCATGATTTATCTGCTTGAACTTCTGTTTAATTTCTGTTCGTGCATCTCATTCACAAGGAATTTAACAATTTTTCTAATTAAATTTGTATATCTATTATTCGTATCAATACAATCAGATAAATTCATAATAATGTTGAATATTATTGATACATATTAATTAGATAGTATCTTTCCCTTGCCACAACATCTGCGCTATGTGTGATTGGACATAATTCATAGTTCCAACATTTCGCATTCTTATGTAGTATGTATCATTTATATCTATGATTATTGTGTGAACAGCTTTTTTTTGTTTCTATGTAAAATAATTTTATTATTAAAAGTATTTTAATACCCTTATTCTTGTTTTGTTTTTTTAAAGCATACTCCCCATGAATTGGGTGAATCATTAAAGCTTCTTACAGTGGATGAAATATTTTGTCCTGCTCAACTTAAATTTACACATGAATTCGCCTGTCATTTAGAACAGTTCATACGACTTTCTCAGCATGATCAAGCTATCCTATTAAGAGATTGTTTGCCTGAACTTGCTGTAAGCATGTTATTTTAATGGATAACTTTTTTCTAATTCATAATTTCAATTCTTTTCATCTTTACTCAATTAAAATACTTTAGATATAGTTAGTAAATTTACATTATTTGACTGATCATAATACATAATTCTTGTTGAATAAACTAACATGAATATGCATGATAAGCACTTAAATTATTCATAATGGTAAGTATTTATTCCTTTGAGGTATTACTATCCCGGTAAGATTGGTTAAAAAGTGGTAAAATAAAAACAAAATTCTAATCTTGGGGTAAATAAAGTTATTAATTCCTTTTATAGCTTCAATTTTCTTAATTTGCGAAATAAATAATTTGAATCTAATGTTTGGAATTTCTTTCTAGTTGTTTGCGATTATCTGGAATTTATGAGAGCGTTTTAAAGTCTAAATTTTTCAAAACCCAATATTTTTTCATAGTAGAATTTTCAGTTAACATAACATGTGCCGTCTGACTAATCAAAATAGAGAGAGCAACTTCAAGGTCATGTTGGTCAGGAGTTAGGATTAACCTTTCCATCATGAATTGACATCAGCTATGATACAAATTTTGTAATATTCATACCTTAGTTCTTAGTCTAAGTATATTAGCTCATTAATTTGTCTGTGTTGTTTCCTGTTAGGCTAGAATTGTTAGGATCTCCAATTCATTAGATAGTTTACCAACATTCAGGTTCATTTTACTTTTATCTTGATTTTGGTATTTTTCACTTGTTAGATATTAATGTTGTGTCGCGAAAACCGGAACAAGACTCATCTGAACTCTTCATCTACATCAATGAATTATCAGTTGAATTGTTTATTTAGTCCATGGTTTCCGAACGCAGTAGTTACAGATTCCTCTTTGGATTGTCTACATATGACTTGTGATAGTATAACTGCTCAAAGTATTTTTCAATTTGCTTCAAGACTTCAACGATTACATTTGACAAATATGGAATTTGGACCACTTATTGGTGTGATACTTTTTACTCCAGGTAATCAGCTGCTATATTATGTATACACAATAATATTTCATATCAAGGACACATCTGTTTACAAATAGTAGAAGATTATGAGTATTTATGGGTATATATATATATGGGGGTACTATTAAAGAGGCTGTTTTTACATGATTAACTTAGATTTGCAAAAGGGGGATTTTCACATGTTTAATGGCCAGTGTTTTATTCTTGATCTGTTTTTTAATTTAAAATTGTAGTTTTATAACAATAGTGTGTCGATACAATCCATAAAACAGAACGTGTTTTTGTTCTTTCATGTTGTCTATGTCCAAGTCAGTCAGCCACAATGTAGAATCAGATGTTTGTGTGCATCTTTTCAAGTTACCATAGCCCATTAGCAAAGCGAAATGTTGTTAGAGCAATTCCCAGAGTAGTAGAGTTAGTAATAGTATCAGTGCTAATTGTGAAGATTAGGCATCAAAGATACGATTCGGGAAGAAAATATGAATTACTGGAAGTAAGAAAATTTATGGAGGGTTCAGAAGCTTAGGATCTGGGCGATATTCAAGAATTACGTAAATTAATGTCTTTTACCGTCGGAAAAAGATGCATATGTTTATGGCTCTAAATTGTTCTTCAGGAAATGTCTTCTTACTAAAATTTAGTATTATGGCACGATGTAATTTATAGTTTAGTTATATCATCTAGTTTATTATTTCTCACTTTCGTCTCTACGGAGAAATTCTCGATTATTCATTGGAACTATACACTTATGTTTATAGTTTCCATATATAATAATGTATTGTGAAATAGATGGATATTCCATCACTGAGTGTATATCCCAATTAAAAAAGATTTACCCAATAATCTAAAGTGTAATAAAAAATAAGGTGGAAATACTTCATAGATAAAAAAAGATGTATGGTGCTTTGTTGTTTACCTCGCTAACGGATGTAAAATTGGGAAAATGCAAATAAGTAACAATAGCAAACAATTTTTTACTGTACAGTCTAAATGTTTAGTGTAATATTAAAATAAGAGACTAGATAGACACATGTTGCTGTTAAACAGCTAGTTCAAACTCAAAGCTACACACTTGTTGTTGGTAAATTAGTTACATTGAAACTGAATGACTGCATTCAGTATATACATGTAGGATTTATTGTGGTGTCCTCACTCTTGTTTTCAACTAATATTGTTACAAATGTAGTTGTAGAAAACCCTTATTTAAATTTTAAGCCATCAATAGAGTTACCAGTATAATAATTTTATAACCCAAAGACAAGATTTGTGTAAAAGCTCTGTACTATTATGGAATATAAATAAATACTGATAATTTACGAACATCAATCTGTAATGTGTTCGGGCCTCTGTTGCAACAACAAAGTGTGTCCTTCAAACTAAAAATGGAAATTAAGACTCAAGCTTTAAATCCGAAAATAATGCATGGATATATATGACTTCAATATTAACAACTAACGGTAATATATAAAAGTCTATTTTTCGAAAGTAAAGAGACTGTTTAGACAAAGTGAGAAATTACTCAAACATTTAGTTATGAGTAAAAATATTTGGCAACCCATAAACTGATTACAAACCTGTGTACTTTTTTTAGCCATACTCAAAGTGGATTGGCTAGTGATACTATGTGGTTGTCCAAACTGAACTGAATAGAGCAGGGTTTAAATCTACCACTTAGTAGCTAAAAGTTGAACGCCTTGACCACTAAACCAACCATCGCCAACAATAACTATCTAAATAGTATCTAAGAGGATACATTGAACATAATATGTTTGCAATTGGAAATAGTTTAATTAAATGAAGATCGTATTTTTTACTTAATGTTTTGTAACTCTTTTTATTTACAAATGTTACTATGGGATTTAATCATTACCAAATTCTTTTTTTATTTCTTTCCAACACATCTATATATATTTAGAACGTTCTGATCTATTAGATATTGACTTTGTTAATCGTACACAAAATTTATGGGCTGAATTATTACGTCGTTATTGTGAAAGTAATGGATCACAAACACGTTGTGCTCATTTAATTATGATTTTATCTACATTACGTGAACTTGCCTCTAAAATAACACATAATTTAAATGCATGGTATAAATTATCTAATACTCCAATGTCAAATTGTCTTAAAGAATTTCTTTATTCTTCCAGTTTTAATTCAATGGATGATTGTTTTTAATGATTGTGTAATTTCTCTTATAATTTTTCTTGTTGAATAATAGTGAGAGATTCCTTTTGCCCTTTTTTTAAAAAAAAAAAACAAAAAACAAAATGGGATTACATACTACATATCTTTTTGTAATTGTGTTTAATTTTGCTCTGTTATTATTTTAAAAGTATATTTGTAATTATCTAGATGATCATATATACGCACACGCACACACGTGCAAGTCACCTGGTTACTAAATGAGTATAAATTTTATAAATATTTTTTTAAAAAAAAACAAAACTTTATCTTAATGTTCATACGCACAATGATAATCTCATTACTTTAACAACTTACAAGTTATCAATACTATTTTAGTGTTTCATTTGATTAAATTAGGGAATGGTCATGGGAGAAGGATGAGAAGTGATTATGTGTAAAGTCAAACGATTTCTATTTGGTTGTCTTTTTACTGCTTATCATGACAATTTTTTTTTTCATTTTCCTTCTGTCTCATAATTTTTACCAATTTTGTTGATGCAATTTACAAGGATCTCCTATTTTCTAAAGCAAATATTCACGCACAATTATTATTATTATTACTATCTATATGAATAATAATATTATTAATAACCCAGTGATTTCGACTTACCATGACTATTAGTACAACTTAAAACTATTATGCGCCTCATTATTTTTACAATTATATTCTGATGTGGAAAGTTGATAAATATAAACTCATTTTCATCTTTTCCTCTGCCTTTCTGTCTCTTTGTAATGCACATTATGTTTACAAGTTGGTATTCCTGTAAACAAATACGCTCACGCATATCTCTTGTTTTTATTAATTGTAATACTGTGTACTTTTGTGTGTTTCTTCTCTTTGATTTTTTATCTATTAGTAGTGATATAATTCTTGTATTCCGTCTTCCGATTTATTAAATGATGAAAAAATCATTTATCTGAAAGAAGTGTAATTTCAGGACATTTTTTTCAATACATATTGTTGTTTATTCGTAAGTCTTATGGAACTATTGCTGTAGTATGTTCAAAAAACAACTCCATCAGCCTAACTGAAATCGTCCTTGAAGTCAATCCCTTGATAGGGTGCGAATGGATTTTCAACTTGATAATCATCCAACTAACGATAACCACATGTGTTGATTTAACCCAGTAGTCATTTTTCCAAGTCAAAAGTTCTCTCTAGATTACCGTTACCTTTAGTTGACGTTGGCTTATTTACCACTTTAATTCACTCATGGCACAATTAGTTATTTTAGAAGTTTTGGGAAACAATCTCCAGCCATTTGATTTTTTGTGTTTATGGCACAATATTGAATCGCTCTCTTAGTATATTACTTACGCCTGTTGCCCCTCGTGGGGGAACGTCGGCCGCCCACCAGCATTTCCCATCAAACTCTGTCATGGGCAGTCCTTTACAGTTGCTATTCATCCTTTTAATGTTTGCTTCCGATTCCTTGATCAGTGTGTTCTTTGAACTAAATATATTAGGTAATAATAAGTGATCAGCAGTTATTCTTTAAATAGTTGATATGCCCTAGGATTGAATTACTCAAGGGATACTAGTTAAATGATGTAGTGGTTATTTTGGTGAACAACAAAGACGTGATCAATATACTAGCATTCTGTATGAAAACCAGCTTGCTGATTGCTAGTCTCTCACAACCCACAGAGTTTGACGAGGCCAATAGTATGGAAGCGAAACTCAGATTCATATCCGGATACTTTTAACATAGGGCTTCTCTAAAGATGAGATTAACGGCTGCGACACCCCAAGATTATGGGATACTTTCCCGAACAGCCCAGTCACTTTGATGACTTGAAGTTATTTTCCATCCTTGAAAATGAGCCAGCCGTGGGTTATTTAGACATAGTAAAGTATGATACTACTGACCTGTCTCTTTCGGCAGATCAGTAGTCAATGTTCAAGGGAGTCTAATTGCCATCATGGTAACAGACCAGTTGGAGGTTCTCACAAAATACTCAGTCTATAGTTCATGATACCTTTTGGTACGCGGGATCTTTTTGAATAAGGTATTTCGCTGTAACAGAATGTTCAAACAATTTTTGTATCGATCCCTCTAGAATGGTAGGTCTTTAAGTCACTAAAACGTAAAATCAGCCTAACTCATACGAGATCATAATTAGGATCTGCATAGATGCTGCAGAAGGGTGCGATTTTCACTTCATTGGTGATCATTTAGGGTAGCTACTAGTCAGATGTTGGTCTGAACAAAATTGGAGAAGCAGTCACCTTTAAGGCTACCAAATACCGTCAAAGTGATAATTGCATATGTATCGTTGAGGACATCATTAAATTGACGTCAGAGCACGTAATCTATTAGATTTGGGTTTCAACCGGTCGAAAATTGGCAGCCGATTACTAAAATATATCACTTTACACTACGATTTCTCGCTTCCTATCTAACGTCAACTTCGATTATAGCTCCCCTGGCGGCTACTGCTTGTTCTAAGTTCGGATAAGGGAGGAGGATTAGGCACAGGGGTTAGTGATCCCATCCCATAGAAAAATAACTCGCTAACCAGCAAAAAATAATTCAAACTGCCCTGGGAGTTAGAAGGTCTTCATTTGAAGAGTTATGACGCCTCATGATGAAAAACGAGATTGTTCGGAAGTCACGAGGCCGATGCCACTTCTAACAACCAGACCAACAATTAACATAGGTCCCGACAATGTGAGAGACCGGGAGAGTCTTCCAAATTGCTTTAGAAATGAGGAGATACAACCTAGAGGTGCTTGGACAACAACAACTAGCTTCAAGGGAGCTTCTGTTATACTCCGGACATGAAGAAGAAAATGCGCCACATACACAAGGAGTTGCATTGATGCTTTCCAAACAAGCACAAAATGCACCTATAGGATGGGAATCTCATGGATCAAGGATCATCAAAACCTCCTTCAAAAAAAAGAGAGGGCATTACAATGAACGTCATCCAGTGCTATGCCCCTACCAACGACTACAATGAAGACGTTGAAGATCAATCCTACGATAGGCTGCAGTCGATCGTCGAGAAGTGCTCAACGAACGACCTGACCATTGTGATAGGAGATTTAAATGCCAATGTTGGAATGGACAACACCGGACATGAAGACATCATGGGATGACATGGAATGACTGGAAGAAAGGAAAGAAAATGGTGAGAGATTTGCAGACCTATATGTCTTCAATAAACTTTTCATAGGTGACACTATATTCCAACATAAACGAATACAATAAGGAACTTGGACTTCACCGGGACACACTACGCAGAACCAAATCGACCATGTCTGCATCAAGAAAAAGTTCAGGAGGACGATGGAGGATGTGAGAACTAGGAGAGGAGCTGATATGGCATCAGATCATCACTTGCTGGTCGCCAAGATGAAATTAAAACTGAAGAAGCACTGGACAACGGGGCGGACAACATCACAAAAGTTTAATACAGCTTGTCTTAGGGATACTAACAAATTCAAGATAATCCTCAACAATAAGTTCCAGGCATTTCCTGATCTACTCAATGGAGAGGGAACTACCATGGAGAGCTACTGGATAGAGATAAAAGAGACTATCACTTCTGGGGCACACGAAGTACCACCACAAGGAGTGGATCACTGTTGATACACTGGATAAAATTCAAGAAGGCAGTAATCAAGATCAGCCGAACAAGAACAGAGAAAGCCAATGCACAAGCTGAATACACAGAAGTAAACAAGCAAGTGAAGAGGAACATCAGAACCGATAAACGTAAATATGTAGAAGATTTAGCAATGACAGCGGAAAAGGCTGCAAGAGAAGGAAACATGAGACAACTATATGGTACAAAAAAACTCGCTAGAAATTACCGTAAACCAGAACGACCAGTGAAAAGCAAGGAAGGCAAGGTAATCACCAACATTGAAGAACAATGAAACAGGTGGGTAGAACATTTTAAAGAACTCTTGAATCGACCAGCTTGACTGAGCTCACTCAGCATCGAAGTAGCACCCACGGACTTCCCAATCAATGTTGGCCCACCAACAATTGAAGAGATCAGCATGGTCATCAGACAAATCCAGAGCGGCAATGCAACAGAACCAGACAACATCCCGGCAGAGGCACTGAAAGCAGATGTAGCAGTAACTGCAAAGATACTCCACATTCTTTTCAGTAAGATTTGGGATGAAGAACAAGTACCAACGGACTGGAAAGAAGGACTTCTGATCGAAATATCAAAGAAAGGCGATCTCAACAAGTGTAATAATTACAGGGGCTTCACTTTTCTGTCAATACCAGGAAAAGTTTTCAACAGGGTATTGTTAAACAGAATGAGAGACTCAGTAGACGCCCGAATTCGAGACCAACAGGCTGGATTCTGTAAGGATCGGTCGTGTACAGACCAAATCGCAACTCAACGAATATTTGTGGAACAATCAATTGAATGGAATTAATCACTGCACATCAACTTCATTGACTACAAGAAAGCATTTGATAGTGTGGACAGGACAACACTAAGGAGGCATCTTCGACAATACGGTGTGTCTGAGGAGATAGTCAAAATCACACGGAATTCTTATAATGTATTATACTGCAAAGTTGTGCATAGAGGACAATTGAAAGTCTCGCTCGAGGTGAAGACCGGTGTCAGGCAAAGTCAGTCAGTCAGTCACAATATAGAACTTCGTACGTGCGTCCAGCAGTTCGAGTTGACGTACCACATTAGCCCAGAGATGCAGTTGTCCATTCAAATCCCATGGTGGTATATGTAGTGAGAGTATAAGCAGTAATCGGAAAGATTAAGGCATGAAGATGTTATTGAAGGAGTATATTACGATGAAATAAATTTGGAAATAGTAAAAAAGGGGACTTGGAGAATTCAGATTAGAATTTGGTAGAACACAAAGAGTGAATGCACCTTCGCCATTGCAAACGATTTTGAACCATGTCATTCAAGGTCTCTAACCATCGGTTGCTATCATCTCGCGAATCCCAACCAGGTAGTATACACCTACCAGCACGGTTCAGTCCAATTGT